GCTAATGTAACTTCTAGCTCTGATTCATGTAAACCAATCTTTGTCTACTCCAAACACTACTAAAAAAAGATTGTGTATTTCTTGATTCTCAATCAGTGTGACCTCTGTATAAAAAGCATCATGCACACTGCAATCAGCTTCAACCTTAATTTGCAAATATGTTACAACAATCTGACACTTCAACACTGAAATACATTATATATAACATACATGTATATAATTTTTTTTTAGATTGGAAAGACAGTAAACATACATTTCAATACTTGTGACCTTCTACCAAATACTCAAGGCGTACCATTTTTGAAATCTTTATAGGAGAAAATTGTAAATTCAAAAATTTACTTGAAATTTAATGAAAATGTCCCTGTTATATTGTAGGGAACCGACTCTTTTAATATTTATCAATTTAAAAAACCCAACAACTTCAACCGAACCTAATAAACATAAGCAAACACAAACACAAATATAGGAAGCTGCATGACAACAAAAGAATGGAACTCTTAACAGTAATCACAGCAACTGACATTCACTTCCTAGAACAAGAAGCTTGATTCAATTTATTTGCATTTCCTCACTGAATGTTGCTTCTAGTTTTTACTGCTGCTATATCAAGTGGCAAAATAAAAAAACAACAACAGGTGCTGCAGAATCTTCAAGTGTATGCAAATTTTTATAAGAAGTAAAACAACATTTCAGTCTCTAATTTCATAACTTAATAAAGTGTTTATGTTTAAAGAAATATCACCTAAAACTGAGATGACCATTGATTAGAATTCTTCAACTCCCTCCATATAGACACCAGAAGCCTGGACAAGTTAATGCAAAAAAGGTTTCATAAACTTCAACTCAAGAGTTTCAGCTGGCCATTATTTTAACTCCTGGGGGACATCACATACATGGCAATACCAGAATAAATACTCAGCTTTTGTGAAGCCTTCATTTCATGACACATTGCTGACTCCTCAAACTTAACTGTGTAATTATGTGTGTGACCAGCCTGTTGTGCTCAGTCCTCGGTCACGGTTGCAAGAGAAACTCAAACTTTAAAAGAAAATAGTTTCCTCACAGCAGTTTGACTTTTATTAAAGTTAGGATTGAAGAGAGTAGAGAGTAAGAAATTGTGTTTGGGGGGAAAAAAGCAAATCATCAAAATGAAAACTTTCCCATGTTCATTTCAAACTAAATTTGACAAAACTTTTAAAGGGCATGTTGTAGATGTTGAAAGAAAAATGCATAACTCCATTTGACAATTTGACCCTTATTTTATTTACAAGGTCAGCAAAAAATCTGGAGTAACCCATTTCCCTTTTGACAACGATGACATTCTATGCACTCCATAAAAACATACCACTTAAATGGGAGTGCAAACAAAGCTTGTAAACAAACTGTCAAGTTTGCAAAATAATTATATAATATAATTATAATCCAGAATAAGCTTATGAACACAGAAACTTTAGATCTCTTGTTGGCCTTAGCACACTCATTACAGCTTATTACCTATTCTCAAGAAGAAATACAAAATGAGTGGATAAAAGTGAAAGACCACTTACATTGTGACCAGATTTACAGCAATTTTCTTTAATAACCGATTTGAATTTGAGTTTGTTACAGCAGAAACACAATTATTACAGTTTTGTTAAAAGCTTTAGTCATCACCTTTTAAAATGGTTGCTATGGTCTCATACCTTTTTTCCCCTATGATAAATAGCAGCCTTTTAGAATTTCTACTGCTTGTTATCAACATTTCAAAGAAAATATTGTGTTGCTTAAATGGACAATTCATAACCATATGTTGTAAGGATGTAAAAATAACAAAAAGCAAATGCATGTGTTTGTTCTCAATTAATATTTATATTGACTGCCATCTTTTTAGAAAGCAAAATATTTTTACATCTACCTTTTCAACACTTGAAAGACTTCAATTCAGCGGAAAAGGTAACATTATCTTTTATGTGCAAAATTAAACTCTGTACCACCAAAACATATTTTCAAAATTACTGCATTTCACCTTCAAACAAAAGCCTTGACAATAGTAAATAACAGAAAATACAGCACTGCTTTCAACAACACGATACTATATATATATATATATGACGAAAAATGTACATCTACTACCCAAAACTATTTGCAGAACTGAGGTTTTAAAAACAGTCAACAAACATTCTCAGCAAAGTACAGAAAATGTTCTCTCATTGCATTAAGTAAGTTATGGACTGATCAGATGTTGCCTGGCAATTTCTTGGTCATTGAAAAATGGAATGAGTCACTAGTTTCAGTAAGTGACCAGATTTTCATTTCTGTATTTTCAGATTAATCTGTTTTAGTTTCCAACACAGATCTGTTACGAAAACGTAGGCAAGAAGACATGACCAACATAATAAAAAGGAGAAGATGGAGATGGATTGGGCATGTTCGAGAAGAGAACCAGACTCTATTGTGAAGACTGCCCTCCACTGGACACCCGAAGGATGTCGCAAAAGGGGCAGACCCAAAGTGACCTGGAGACGCAAAGTAGAGTCTGAAATGAAGTCCTGGAATCATTGGTGGGGGACGCTGACCAAGATGGCCCAAAACAGACAAGAGCTGGAGATCCTTTGTTGCTGCCCTAAACGCCAGATGGCGTAACGGGTAGTAACCGTAACCTGTTTCAGTCTAAGCCATTTCAACTGTATGTAGCATACTGCCCTTCTCAGAAGTAGGTTCTGCGCTCTTGACACTAAATCACCATCTTGACAGACTCTATAACATTTTCAGCTTCCCGGTAAGCATTCAAGAACAACGAAGAACATCCGTACATGTCATGACAAGGAGAAAAAAAACTACTGCAACGAGTCCATAAAACAATTTCCCAAACTTGTATCCTAAGCAGTGCCTTGAATTCATATTATGAGTTTGCAAAGATTTCATCAGAATAACAATAGATATTAAAACAACACCATGTATTCAAAACAGTGTTAACAAATATAATACAGAGAGGCGTTTTCTTTTATTTGTAGATAAGTATGTGTGTATATGAAAACAGCACATATATTTGGTAGATACCCCAAACACATTCTAATCTGTAGCAGAAGCGATTTCCAGTTCACCTTAAAAGTTAACAGGCTTATGAGAAATATGTTGCTAGACAGGCACAGAAGGTCCACTGAAGTGCACATTCAAACCTAAAAGTTAATTTTAAAAATCTGAATTGACATAAAAATTTTCACCAAGCACACTTTTCAGAGAGAAAGGTACTCTTAAGATTTTTAAAATCAGAAGAGTAAGAAATTTCAAATACATTTAGTAAAGTCTAAACAGAGTTGTTTTTGTAACCATTGTTGAAGTTAATTGTACATCATACAATGTAAACTCTCATAAAGTTCTGTAGAATGCAGTTTCAAGTGCTCCACAGAAGTGCAGCTTTCACCTTACAATCTATACTGATAAGCTTTACTTTCTTTTCAGTTTGCTATTGTAAATCCAGCAGCTCTAGGTATACAGCATTTTTCCTCTAAACTCATAAAAACTTTGACTATCTCAATACAAGCGTTTAAGTTCAAATGTTTGGGTTTTTTAAATTCTTTTTGCCGTTGGAGTTGGAATGAGTTCAGCTCAAACAGTTGAGTTGAACATTTCACTTCAACAACAAAAATGACAAATCACGCACAAAGTCTTAGAATAAAACTTAGTTTCCTGAGTTTTCTCCACACAACATATTAACATTGAAGCAACTTGCCTAGGCAAGGCGTAAACTAGATGATAATGATAGCACTTTTTTTTCCACATTGATTAAAATGCTTTCTGACACAAATTTTTGCAATGGTTTGTAACCATGTGAATGTCAATTTTTCAAGAAAATGATACCTTTCTAAACATATGTGTAGCAAACATAAATACTAGTGTTTAGCACAACTCAACAAACAATCCATTACTGCTGTACTGATTTACATGCTGTGAAAAAAAATGCTGTATGTCTAGTTTTACAGAAAGGAAAGCGAGACTGCAACACCTCTTTTGTGGAAACTGCACTGGCTTCCATTTGAGAAAAGAGTAATGTACGAGTTGGCTACTCTATGCAACAAATTCTTGAATGATTATGCGCCATCATATTTATGAAATCTATTGAAACTATACACTCCTGTTTGCAGTTTTCCCCCCCCCCGCGGCAGTGCCACTGACTGTAGTGTCTTTAGGCCATTCCCAATGGGGGACATTTCTCGTTCAAGCACAGTAGAATTGTAAATGGGCTGATTCATGTCACGCCCATAACTGTGCCTGATCTACAACTGCTGCTTTTTCTTTCCTAATCCTTACTATTGTCATTTTCCTCTACTTCTTCTGTATCTCTGTCACACTCTTGTGACCTGCTATTTCCAGGGCGCCTTGATAGTCGAAGAAGACTTTGTGCTGTTGAAGCTAGAGAGGTGAGCAGAGTAAGACTGATTCCCTGTAAAGACTTCTCTGTCGACACCCACCCCGTGGCGCTCATATGACCTTATGCAGTTGCGAACGCCGTAAAACCCTCTACTATAATATATAGTTTACAGTTTAACTCTTAATCTCCGGCAAGCCACTCCCAGCAGTTCGCGGTCAGAACTGCTGTGTCGTCGAGTTGAGCCGCTACCAGCGGCTCAGGCACATTCCTTTACGACTTCAATGTCAAATCAATTTTCAGCAATTGGCAAAAATGGGTCTCTTAATTAAAAGCAGAACTATTAAAAAAAGGTTCGCTTGTTTTGATTTAATGACCAATCATTAAGTGACATAGACCTTTATGTCACTTTTAGTGTACCAAAAGAGGGCCCTGGCATAGTAGGTTTACCTGCCTCAGAGAAAAAGAGTTAAGGTCATCAGCTGACAAAGACAAATTACTATTACCATCTAAGAACCTAAAAATAAAGAATGACAGGACATTTCCATTTAACGGCCCAAAGATCTGGAACGCACAGCTAGGTAATTTAAGAGAGATCAAATCTTTTAATGCATTCAATAATAGTCAGCATGAGTTATTTCTTCTTTAGGATTAAAACAAAATGGTACAAAGCACTCAGAGCCTGCGCTTTGTGATTGAGGTTGAGTAGGCCTACTATATAAATGTCAAATGTTATTATTGTTATTATTACTATGTACCGTTCGTATGAACAGTATGATTAATGAGGAGCTTGCTTTATAAATTTCAGTAAAAACCAAACACAAATATAGATAGCACTTTAAAAATAACTGGGGAAGATTTTCGGGACCACTTTGTGTGAAGTTTCCAGTGGTGGGAGCTGTGGTCATAAAACACAATTTTTCTATGAAAGAGCAGTCAAGAAGAGAAGGTAGACACCCAGAGCTTTCAATTTCACGAGGATGTGTCAAGCAGAACACCGACGGAGACAACTTCTTGAAAGTCCTTTTCACAGGAATATAAAGTTGAAATTATAACAAAATATTAACACCTTCAACTTTATAGCATATGGCATTCACAGCTGACCAACAGTAGAAATTAAAGTTCAATTTGGCGAGTGTCAAAACAGATGAAGAGAGGAACAAGAAAAAAAAAACATAGACAAAATATACCACTTTCAAATTTCAATAAAAAGAATTGAAAGACTTGATCAACCAGAAATGAAAAGTGGAATGGAGAAAAACTTGCAGATGCAAGCAGAAAAAAAAAAGTGGTATAGAATATATTTTCTTTTGTCCTACAACTTAATCTCCATAAAGTTTTAAAAACGTTCATTTTCCAAACAGCACTCGACAAACATGAAAAATAATGAAAAACAGAACCAAATATTTTAAAAGCATTAAAAGAAAGACAAAAGTAACAGCAAAATGTTTATATCAATGGACAACTTGGACAAGCAAATGAAAATCAGAAAATGAAAACACAGACTTTAAAAATACCAACCACCGACAGCATTTGCAGTAAAATTACCCTCAAGAAAAGTAACTATGCCTGATCAATTACTTTCAGTTTTATTTCTTTGATGTAAAAACATTACTTTATAAATATTTTTAGAGAAACTTTGAAAGGTCTGTTGATGTAATGAAAATATTAGAAAGTGAGACTTCATTTTTTGAATCACCCAAAACCGTGCGGTAAAAAAGATGTGCACACAAGACCACTGCATTTTCTGATAAAATGATGTCTGTGACCCATACATATATATACTGAATACATTACATTCAGAAATTTAATGAAGTATTAAGATGAATTATTGCCAAACACACTTTCTGCACCTGAAGGATGATTAGCACCCTCTTCCATTCAGTCACGGGCCCTTGGATATAATATGAGAGGACTTAATAGGCCATAGAAAGAAAGAAAAGATGAAAAGCACTTCCAAAACTTCTTGATACAAGAATGCAGCGCTACATCTGCACTTGAGGGATAACTGAAATGTTGTTTTCAATAGAGAGTCATACTGACAAAACAATCTCGGACTATATTTCAAAAGAAAAAAAAAAAGCAACCTTAAATAAAACCAACTTTTATTCTGGTTTGAACTTGTAGTGTAGTCAATCTTCTTAAATATTGGTACACAAACAGATAAAAAATCACACATAAATAAAATTATTGCAGGAGATTACAGGGCTGCCCACCCATCAGAAATTATTTTAATAACCAACAAGTACAAAATTATTAATCTGGCTTTAAAATTCAAAGTATGACCATGGATAGTCTTCTTCCCAGGGATGTAACATAAATAAATGCGTGATGAAAAAAAGGTCTCGCTCGGCTGTCATTGTCAAATTATTTTTAAAAAGCGTTTACTGCTTGCAAAAACAAAAGAAAAATTTACAACTACAGAATACGTCACAAGCCTTTAATCCTGATTGTGCATCACAACACATCATGCCTCGCACCCACCATAGCTAACTGTTTAAAGTTTCAAACAGTGATCTATCTTTTTCCAAAAAATTCCCTCATTGGCCTAGGCTGTCACCGACAACACAAAGGGGCAGAAATTATAGCCTAGAACACCTTGTCAATCTAATGTCTGCCTTACTCCTGGCTTTGGCACTTCCAGTCTTAGTCTAATGTTTTTCTAAGGGCAAAGTGGCACTGAGCAACTACAATGGCTCAATACAAAGAGGATGTTAAAGTTTGCACATGACGTTGTGACGTAGATTGTATGGGACTGGTAATTTTTATCCCCTTATACATCAGGAAGGTTGGCAGTGGGCTGAGGTTGCCGAAATTTTTAAAAAATCTAAATCATACGATCATATTTTCGTAAAACTGAATAAAAATCATAAGGATTCCGCCAAAATGGTAATGATGGGCAGCCCTGAGATAAATGTGAATTAGGGTGAAGCAGTGGGCCAGGCAATGGTGCCCGATAGCCACACAATTCATCAGACAAACCTTACAGCTTACTGCAACATGTATTCGAATTCGAAAGTTTCACGATGCACTTTTGATTCTTGTTTATTATTAAAAATGCAATGTTTCATCAAACCAAAGTCTTCCATTTTCCTGTGGTAATAATATTCAGTTCAGAGGTACATTTTTAATAATCCACTTACGGCGTTATTAAAAAAGGAGAAAGAAAATACCCTTTTGAGTTCACAAGACAAGAAGAAAGTAAACTGAGATATTCAAACAGTGATCCTGAGGAGTAGTCAGTCAAATTTAACATACGGTGAGAACAAACAAATCTAAACAATATGAAGAAATTGACTGCTCAGTGTGGGACCCCATCACACATCACTTTTAAAATGGCATGTGGTGGAGTCTTACAATAAGTTTAAGCAGTCAAAATGCATCTGAATTTTGAATAGTGTTTCATAAAGGAGTGTCTCGATTTCGTTCCAGATTTCTTTTACAGCAGACACCATTCGATCTTTTGTACAATATCATTTCACATTTTCTAAACTCTATAACTTGTAAAAATTCGAAACATTACTGATTGGAATAAAAAGTACCTGGCTCTTATGATTCTAGTATTTGTCTTCTTCCTTCTACAATACACGGCAGGAAATACATTTTCCACTACAGCAGAAGTCCCATCAATCCATTTTCAATTGCAACATACCAAAATTAGAAGAAAAAAAAACACAACAATAATCTCTTTGCTATAGGACAGGGCTAATGAGAATCTCTCATTCCCACAACCTGGGCGTACGGTGGTGGCGGGGTGGAAATTTTCACATTGCTGGCTGAAACTTGACTGTAAGGGGGCGGGGTACCAACAGGCGGCTGTGCAGGTTTGTCAAAACCTCTTGCATACCTTCCCACAGGAGCATCAGGCCTTGTGTCCTATACACAAACACATTAAAGAGGGAGGTTAAGTAAACTGATGTGTATTCAAAACAAAGTTGCAAGACTAGTACAGTGATGCTCACATAAAAGCAGCCCAGACAAGAACAATGTCCTCTTAAAACCTACTTTTGTAGTAATTACAGAAATCAAAATGAAAATAAACAAAACCCATAATATAGACATAAAATTTTGTTCCACTCACTTAAAAAGAAAGCTCAGCTTGGACTGATCCTGTGGTTGCTTCATGGTACAATATATATTTTTCCTCCAATATCTCTTGGTACCTTGTCCCTTACTTCCCCATAAGAAGGCTGTATAAAACAACTCTAATTTAACTATGCAACCGAGGCGAAACTTTTCCTCAGTACTCCGTAACTTGGCACTATGTATTCAGCAGTCTGACTTTGTAATTTGTGGGAAATAAACATGGTACCCATGGATAAATATATGGAGAGACTGAGTTTGTATTTTCAGGCCCATAGGAGAAAAATATCCATCTCAACAAATTCAAATCACAACCTTGAGCGACCATCCCTTCTCCCCCCCCCCCCCCCAAGATAGACACCATGTTTTGGCTTTAGTAATTTAGTAAGAGTTCTACGGCACCTTAGGTACAAACACTTTATATAAGTGCCAAAGATGAGATGCGTTCCTAAAGAGTAACATACAAAGTAAAGAAGAAGAGATAAGTGCGATAGATATTCGATAGGAAAACAGGAGCAAACCATACCACGGCACCCGTCAACCATCCACACACTAAAAAGCTTCTATAACTTTTAATAGCAATCTTTGTTGCCTATATAACAAGTGGCAAATATGTGAACACAGAAAATCTGACAGAAAGGTGCAAGAGTAAAGAGTATGCATGAACAAAACAAAAAAAGACATGTACGAGTGCATGTCTGCCTGAGGAAAGATAGTGGTATCCAGAGCGAGAAAGCCAATGGTAAATGCCTGGGCCCCATATGACAGATAATGGGAAAATAACTATAAAACAAAGTTTTATTTTCATTATTTCAAGATTAAAATAATGTGGAGAATCATAAAACGTATGATCTCCACCGATTGATCGGTAAGCTTCTTGGCTTTCAATAATTTTAGATCCCTCTAAACAATATGATCCTAACCAATAGCCAAATTAAAAATTGATGAACAAACAAAACAAAGGAAGGCTGATAAGCAAATCTGAAGCAGACAGGAAAATGTAGACCTGTAAATCTTAATCCTCTTATTTGTTTGTGTTCCATAAAAATCAAGGCTCGTAACATACACTGCCTTTCTATGAAGGAGTCAAAAACTATCTTTCAACAATACAACCAAAAACCTTAGCACCCTAAACACATAATTTAACAAAAACAATTACAGACTGTGCACATACTTACAGGGACTCTTTTAGTAAAAATTAAAGAAACGTTTACTCCTTTTCCATTCTCCTTACTAAAAGAAGAATTTTTTAACGCCTGATAAGAGCATAACAAGCCTGTTTTTAGTTTTTAGTTTTAGTAGAGGTTTTACGGCGCTCGAAACTGCATAAGGTCATATGAGTGCCAGAAGATTAGAGGTGTTACAAGAGAGTAACAAACATAAAAAAGAAGGAGGGGAGATAAGGACGATAGATGTTTGATAGGAAAGAAGGAGCAAACCACACCACAGCACCCACCAACCACCCACATAATAAGCCTGAACCAGCCTGTATATGAAAACCAATTTTGTTGTAAATGCACAGTCACAAAGTGGGTGGTTGGCAGGTGCTCTCGGGTGGTTTGCTTCTTCTTTCCTATCAAACATCTATCGTCCTTATCTCCCCTTCATCTTTTGCATGTTTGTTACTCTCTTGTAACAGCTCTAATCTTCTGGCGCTCATGTGACCTTATGCAGTTGCGAGCGCTGTAAAACCTCTACTAAAACTAAAACAGTCACAAAGAGAATGATGACAAGCCAGTCTTAACCCTTAAAACCCTATACCACAGGTAACCGCTGATGCCATATTTTCCTATACTGCTGGTCAACTTTATCGTTTAATTCCTGGTGCTAGAAACAGGGGATGTCACTCCAGATGACTGCCGCGAGCAGAAAGTAGCGATAATGTCATGAGAGCAGTTCTACACCGAAAGTTTTGGGAATTTTGCAAGTTGTAAAGAAAAACAAGTGACTTTTCGCAACCAGGCCATTGAGGCCGCAAAACTTTTGACATTTTTTATCCTAAACCAGACCCCAATGATGATCTCCCAGTCGGATATATCGATAAATATGACCACAGAAGATGATTGCGATGTTTCGCATAACATCGATGATGATTTTGACGATAGTGGAAGTTGCAGGGGATCACCACTAGAGCTACTACCAGAGGCTAGATTTACAGCTGGGTCTATTGATGCTTTGACTGAAGTGGAGTCAGGGATCACACACAAGACTTTACTCATAGAGTTGGTCCTAAAAACCACTGTTTTTAACCTTTTCCCCTTTTGTCCAGACTGTAGTGTTGGGTAGTACCGGCGAAACCCAGTGTCGACACTTTCTCGGTACTGGGTGCCGAGAACCACCAGTACCGGCACCGGTAGTGACACAAGTAGGCAATGTCACAGACTTCGCGCCTAGTGTCTCACACCACGATCAGCACCGCCCGCATCCCCC